CCTTGGCAGTAAATTCATTTAGTTGCCTTCTTAAAAAGACAGAAGTTCAGGAGACAGAGGGGCCAGCCCCTTCCTTCAGAATGTGTGGTAGTTAAATCTAAAGGAAGTAGCCATAAACTTGCAACACAAACATTTTATTGTAATGGAAAAGTTATTTATTTTAATTATTGTTATTAGACATTTAAGGTCAACGAATGTCATTTGCATTCCAAATCTCAGTTATTGTTTTAGCCTTGTCTTAACTAATGACTGCCTAGTACTGCCATCAGCTCATAAGACTCTTTCAAATTTATTTCTTTTTATTAGAGTTCTATTACCATGTTGGTGCTTCAAAAGAAAATGATAGAATATGTCCCAAGTGATATAAATAATTAAATTTGTGGAAGCTTTCCAGTTTCTTGGGTTTAACAAATTGAAATATAAATTTATTTCTAAGGGCAAAACCAAACATAATGTTCTATAGTAACTTGGAATTTAATTAACATGATAACTAACAAAAGTTTCTAAAAGAATGGACAAATTGTTCCCAAATGAATATAAAGGGGGGTGACATAAGGTTAGACAAAAGATTCATGATTTATGCGAATTTCTTTTGAAATGGAAACAACCTCAGAGAATCTTTACAACTCTCTTAGGAAGTCTCCTGGGTGGTACCATTTGTGCTGAGGGACTTCGAATGGGCTAGTAGGGTGATAATGGAAAGTCTTACAGCCTTGGCGCTTGGGGATTTGCACATAGAAATCCCTGCAGCACTTACAAAGATGCCCACATAAATCTCCACGTCATTTTCTCTTTGAGACGCGTTTTCCTTATTGCTACTTTTAGCCAGATGTTTTATAATTTTATTTTCTAAAAGGTGCCTGATAAGGAAACAGCCTTCATATTATCTACAGGGAGACATTTCGCCTATGACCACCTCAATAGTTTAATTTATTGATCAATTTAAAACTTGTCTTTACCATAATCACCACAATTACCATAGAATCAGCAGTTAAAATTAAATCCCCATGGTAAAATATACTCAAATAACAGAAATGTCTATTCTTATATGCCGGATATTAAGAGAGCCACAGGTAGTTTCCTTTAATCTATAGGTTTTTGATAGTGTATCTCTATGGAAGCCCTGCTGACCACCTAATACCCAGGAATAAATTTTTACCTATATCACATCCATATCTGAATCATTACAAACTTCGTTATACCCCAAATGCTAGTATGCACTTTAACAGAGGATTATGGTTAACTATTCCTGTGGAATAGAGTGGATAATCTAGTTACTAAGGACGACTACAATCTTCTAATCAAAACTTGGACCCAAAGAATGACAGCTTACCATAGGGCAACTTGCTACAATAAGAATAACCATTTTGTATTACAGCAGATTTGTCAAGGCAAAGCTATCAAAAACCAAAGCAGCATATCATGTCATAGCTTTCAAGTTAACATTATTTCATAGAATCTAAAACCCACAACAATGATTCTCCTTGAAAATTGCTCAGGCCAAAGTGCTGACATAAATAGTGAATCCTTGGAAGAGTTTTCTACATGAGGAAAATAAATAATAAAATATTTTTATCAACTCTATCATTTTATAAGAGCTAAAATCCAGAAGGGCAAGGTAGGTTTCTGAGAGAGAAGTCCTCGTGTTATGCTGTAGCATAAGACACTACACAATAAATATGTGTTCAGTTGTTTGAACTAATTATTTTCCCTCTGGTTTTCTTTATTCCAGCCATTGCAAAGTTTCCTTCTCAGGAGACCTATGCAGAGATAGATGCAAGCACTTTGACAAAGATAATATATTTTGGCTTTTGTCTTCAGCATAAAAAGCTGATGTTTTAAAGCAATAGTTGTTCTGGGGGGAGGTTAATGGATTTTTAACTAGAAGAGGAGAGTCATACAGCTACTTATCAAACATTCAGATAAAAAGCTAAATTACATCAGCAGTGAAGAGTCATGTAGTCAACATCAAGGCTAATTTAAAAGCATTTCTAGAGACAGGTGAAATATAATTCTATTCCTCAGTGGAAGCCATACTATTTCAAGGAAAATTAATATAACTTTGACAAACCATAATGTTAATAAGATCCTTAAATATCTGTCTGATGGAAACAGTGATGACAATATCATATTACAAAAAGCAATGTCAGTCTAAGAGAAGTAAGTAGGAAGAATCCACCTGAATTTCTTAATGCAGTAAGGTGTCTTACGGAGCTGATGCCCCCCACACTCCTAACAGGACATCTTCGTGGAACTGGCTTGGTGTATGTGAGAGGAGATAATGTTGTGATTGTTAAACTGTTGTTTCCTAGGTGTATGCAAAAGTACACACAGATATTATGGGTTTGGACATACTGCAGATTATATCTAGCAAGAAAAGTCAACTGGGCAAAATATGAACTTAAATTCTGAATAGTATGTAAATTACTTGATAATTGCTCTGTGGTTTTGTTAGCTCTTTTAGTATCAGATGCTAGGAATCATTAAAAAAAAAACCTTTCTCTATTATTGAAGATAGCTTGTATTTTATTGAACCGCAGATATAAATAGAGATCTCAGCCATGAGTACTAGCTTAGGGACTGCCAAGGGTCAAATTCAAATTCTAGTAAAGGGAGTCAAGAACTACTCTCAGGTCCACTTACAATACTTAATTAAGTGTGTGGGGGATGTGGATCACAGCTAAGCTAACTCAAAACTTCTGCAGTGTAAATTAATGAGGCCATATTGCATTAGATCATACGCGACAAAACTGGAGAGGAGAGAAACCTACTGAATTGGGGATCTCCCAAGCAGAATAGGAGGCCAGACTATCAAATCACCTGGCTCTCTCCGGGTTTTGTTTCAGTGAACTCAAGCACGTCCAACACTCCTCTCCCTGACTTCTTTACTCCTCTGCATATCTTTCCTCCCACTTTTGTTTTCTTTTTCTTCTGTTTCATTTCCTTACCCCGCTACGTAACCTACAGGGGCAAGACAAAAGGAATAGCTCCCGCAGCCTTCTTGTTCAAAAACTGCCAAAACTTATCTCAAGTTAAGGCTGTGGCATGCCCCTCTTTAGGCAGGAAACAATGATTAACCGTGAATTAATGAACACAGTAGAGTGGTGAGGAAATGGTCTTTGAAGTGAGTCATGTCTCAGTGCTCTTATTTGTTTTTGTACTTTTCTGCCAAAGTCAATTTTTTAAGAACCTCACTTTTCATCTTTCATAATGAATATTATTCACTGTATCTCTGCCCTTTCTAAGTGCTGCAGAAACTTTTAAAATAAACTGACATTTCTCTTCTTCTTTTCTTCTTGGGTCTATTCATATGAAACTCATATTCCTCCAATTGGACTCCATGCTAGCATGAACATAGCTGTTTGTGGAACGGTTTCTTCTTTAAAACAATATTTTTAATATCTACTTCTCTGCAACTTACTTTGATAACAGTAAGAAGACCTATTATTCTTTTCTTCACCCCAACATGTCTTCTAGTGCCATGAGTACTTGGTCAGCATTCCATTTATATATTACTTGAAGATGTTGACCTAAATTTCCTATATTTTTCTCAGTGTAAATATAGGTTGTTATATATTTCAATGTTTACTACAGGTTTTGTCTCAGACTAAAAGAAATAGATTGAGACTACGTTCCTCAATTTGTTATCCTGCTTGTTAATGATGAGGGGGCTGCCTGGCTGCTGTAGCTATAATGAAGTTGACAAGATAGCGTAAGTTGGATAATTTTAGGAGCATTTAAGTTTAAGGAGTAGTTTTTCTTCTTCATTAAAATATTAATAGAGGTAAAAATTCATGGGTGAAATGGGGTGGTGCCAGAAAAATTGAGGTTTGACTATCACTCTGCCACAAAGAATGATAAACTTGAGCCCTGGAAACAGATGCACCTTGAAATCATAGTAAGTAAAATAAAGCAGAGAAGCTGAAGTATTGCACAGTTTCTCTTATATATAAAAAAATATATACAGTAAAACACAGATAATGATGAAAGAAAAAACAAATAGTAGGACAAAGACAAGAAATAAATTATAATCCAGCAATGATAATGTATCTACAATTGTATCTTGACAATACAATTGCCTTATGTGTTTCATGTTTTTGACCTATTAGTCCAGCTTTTAATCGATGCCTCTATATATGATAATTAATTTTTATAAGGTCTTATGAGATAAATGAATGTGATGCTTGCATAATAAAAGGAGTTGGAAGGAAGGGGGAGGAAGCGTACATGTACCAATATCCTACAATGAATGTAATCGTTATGCACTGCAAACAAGTACTAAAAAAGTTAAAAAGTAAATAACACAGGAAAGGTGCAAAAACATCAGAGTTAAGTTCTATCCTCTAACACTATATTAAACAAATCAACAGAGCAAACCAATTAAGTCTTTTATTTACAGTCATAGGCAGTTACATAAATCTCACTTTGCAATAACCTTTCATATTTTTCAGGAGTCATCCTGTAAAAACATCAATAAAACCAAGACTGAGTATTTTTATTTCATGTTTCTACATAGAGATTATAGTTGTATAGTATTTCTTCTAACATTTTTCACAACATAGAATTCTTTTTTTTTTTTTTTTTTTTTTT